TTAAAACAACCCAAAACAGTGTAATGGAAAGACAAATTTTTTTGTTATTTTAAGCAATGAAAAATGTGTTTTATTTATTTGTATAAGATAGGTGAATAAAATCATACTGGGTCCATAGGAATATAGGGTTTGATGTCTAATTCCAAGATAAGGTGTAAAAGGACTTGAATGTACAGTTTGGAGATTGATGTTGCTGTTGATGTTGTTGGGCTTGTGGAATCTAGTTTTCAAATGGGTATTTTATAAAGTCATCATAACCACCCCAAAGACTTCTTCATTTTTCGAATGGGTATTCGAGATACCCATTTGAATAATTAGTATTCAAATGGGTATTTCAAATGGGTATTTTATAAAATCATCATAACCACCCTAAAATTATTCAAATGACTTCTTCATTCTTTGTTTATTCAGTAAATTAGTTTTAAATGTGAGTAGACTAATTATGTCTTGTTTCTTCTTTTTGTTCTTGTTCTTCTTCATCTTCTTCTTCTTCTTGTTTGGACCGCAATTTCCCAACTACATTCATATTCTATGGACTTAATACCCTTGTAATTAACTTCCTATACGATTTGTATGAACTTTGGCCGAAAATTGAAAAGCAAATTCATAGTGAAGTCAGATTTATGTATGTTTGCTGCTGTTTACTCATCTACTGGCAGATTTACTGAAGCAAATTCATAGTGAATCATAGTGAATCTGCTGGTTAATCTTGATAAGCTTTTTTGCTCTGTCTCTGGCTGCTGTCGCTGGTTGCTTAATCTGCTGGTTAATCTGAGTTGGGATGTTTGTATTCATGGTTAATCTGCTGGTTACTTAATACAAGACTCCAACTGTGATTGGTTGTCGAAGAAATAATGACATTTAAACATCCAATGATGTTTGGATATTTATGTATGAGGTTCATGTAAATGTATGTAAATGACGTATGTGAGGTTTATGTAAATGTATGTAAATGATGTATGTGACGTTTATTACTCATGTCATTTTGTTATTTTTTTATGTAGGTACCATGGTTCCTGGTATCAAGACGGGGCGGCGGAAGACAGCAATAAGTGGCAACGTATTATCAGGCTCTGAAGCATGTCCAGCAGTTATTGGCACCCCGTTGACGTTATCTGATGAGACACAGCCACCAGATGATACATAAACAGTGGTGGAGGAGACGCAGCTAGGTGGCGTGGGTAAGAGCATTTCACTTAGTTCGTTACAAATTCTTTTTTCCTTTTTTCTGGGGTGCATAAGTCAGGTCTTTAAGGCAATGAAAACCCCATAAACAGGAAGAAAAACAAAGAAAATGTGAATGCCTTGTTAACCTGATTGGTAAGGAATGCCTTTGTTAATTTGTAGGTTAATCTGTTTGTTAATCTTGTTAGTCAATGTGAATGCCTTAGTTGGATAGAGGGATGTTTGAAACATCATATCAACATCTTGAGCTGATAGTTCAAAAATATTGAATAATTACTCTAATCAATATTTGCTAACATTTTTTTTTCAGATTGACTTAACATGAGTAAATATCAATATTTGCTAGCAGCTACTACAAGATTTGTTCAATATGATTTGTATTTTTTGCTTTTTCACTGCCAAGTAGGATATTAACAGAATAATAAGTGCGAGTGTATGAAGACCTAGTAGTCAATAACTGTTAGTGTAATCGCAATTATAGCTACCAGAAAAATGAAGTCATGGAATCTAATTTGCCACATGAGGTCGATCACTTTTCCAAAAACAGGGGTCATGATGATGCTACACATACGGAGACAGATGAAAATGGAGATGAAGGTAGTGGAAGGTGGTAAATCTGCAGAGGAGGATGGCGAGGATGATGTGGCAAAAAGTGTTGAAGGGTCAATCAATGGAAATCACACAGTGGAAGGGTTGTCAGATGATGTAGATGGAGGTAATGATTGTATGCCTGGTTCAGTGGTTAAAGAAACTGAGTGTGCTCTAGGGAAACCAAACGTTGGGGGCTGCACTAATGAAATAGGGGTGGTGCATGTGGTCTGTTCAAGAATAGTAGAGAATGGGGGGCTCAAGAGGTCGATGATCAGATTTGCACTATTGGCTATATGAATAGTTTGAATGGATTAGAGTGTGGCAGGCCCAACATCAATTTAGAAGTTGTGTTAAGTGGAGCCCAATTTGAGCCTATGACTAATAGGCCAAGGAGGGTGGTTAATTCAAATTTGAGTGACTGTATAGCCCAGTCCAAGGCTTTGTCTACAGTGGAGAACTCAGCCTTCAAGGATAAACAACAGAGGGACGGCCCATTGCAGAGGGCTACTGCTAGAACAATGAAAAAGGACGATCTAAAGATGAAAGGCACTGAACAGAGGAAAGGAAGAAGGAGGAAGGGTGCACATTCAAACCAGAATGGGCTGTTATTTAGTAATTGTCTAAAAAATAGGGCAATCCTTAGAGCGGCAGCAGCAGCCATATCCTTATCAGTGTCTCAAAGTAGCAATTCAAAAAATACAAGAAAGTTGCTTAATGAAGCTTAAGCAACGATTGAGATGGGGAAATTATTAGGGTTAAACTGTGAAGGAAAAGAAGATGAAATGGTGAGAAGAATAGGCTGAGGGGGCTGCTTTCTGCCTGCTATCACTGTTCTGGATATGTGTTGGAGTGCTGGTGGTGATTTTCTGGTGTTTCATCTTGATCAGTATAATGGGTTGGGTTGTAATGTGGAGTCTGCTACGTCCTGCTGCTGCTGTTGGTTGATCTTGATCAGTGCTGGTGTTTGCTGCTGCTGTTGTGGAGTCTGCTATGGCCTACTGTGCAGGCCTGGTTGCATCTGTTATGGGTTAGTTTGTAATGTGTTAGGGGTGTTATCTGCTTTTGGCTTCCTTCTACGTTGGTGCCTTACCAACTGCGCTCTTTGTCTCTTTTCTGTTTTTGTTTATGTTCTCTGCTTTTTCTTCATTAATAAATTTCCTTTTCTTGGCTGCTTTAAAAAAAAAAATATGAACTGTGGAAAAACAAAATTCATTACAGAAATATATGGCTCCCAACAGAGTCATGATATAGTTATGGATTATCATGCATGAGTTGGAAAGAAAGAAACACTAGAAATTATAGTTATTTTTGGTCCGACCTTTGTGCCTGAATAGGACAATTTCACAAAGTTATAGTAATTTAATCTGATTCTCAATTTTTGAACTCATGTCTAATTAAACAATCAACAAGGCAATTGCTATCCTTTGGAAATTTATTGAACCGTGACGATTTTTGGGGATTGATCCCTTCCCAAGAGGGATCAATTAACAAATTGGTTTTGAGACCAATTCTAACTCTATTTCTAACTCTGCTAGTGCTGCTTATTGTCTGCTACTGTATGGTCCTCTCAGCTTTCAGTCGATTGGTCCTCTCTGTCTTTGTCCTGTCAGTAGTTTGGTTTGTGTTAGCTTGTTGTTTGCTGTCAAATGTTTGCTCCTAATTTGTCTGTATCAGAGTTAAAGTTGTGCAGTAGGGGTGTTGGCACTATGCCTCAGAGCTGTTTGGTCTGTTTTGATGCTGGATTGGTAAAGTTCTGAGCATAGAACTGTGTTTGGTCTGTTTGGGAAATATATAAAGGGGTGACTGAAGCAGGAGATCAGATCTGCTAAGGGAGTGTTAATTTGCTATGCTGGGCACTATGCCTCAGAGCTTGCATAACAAATTTTTGTTAACCATAAGAATGGTCCTAGGATGACTACTTAAACCTCAGAGGTTTTAGTAATTATGTACTGTAATATCTGCTGAATTAAAAAAAAAAAAAACTAACAAGAACTTCCAGCCTGATCATATGCAATATTTGCTGAATTTCATCATCACATTTCAACAATTATGTACAGCATTAGGGAATGTGTAGTGTCTACTAACTGTACACGGGTGGTCATTACGAACAATATTTGAACTGGTACAATTATATGAAGTGACGTTCAAGGTATGATTATATAAAGCGACCTAGACCTATGACAGCTAAAGTCTTATGTCGGCTATTACTTTAGGCTAGCAATCAGGAAAATCAGATGATTTTGGAACACTGTGTTCCCAACTAGGCTGCATAATTTTCAACAAAGGCACACTGTGTTCCCAACTAAGGCACACTGTTTAAACATATGTTTTCAAACATAAAGTTCATTGATTTAGTTGAGTTCTAAACTTAAAAGAAACCAAGGGTTGTACACTTATAATTAACGATATTAGTTTGATAGTCAGTTATTGTCTTCGCTGTAATTAAGATGCTTATATGTGTTTATGTATTTTTTTTTTAAATTGAAGCAACAAGCAATACTCGAACATCTTTCCTTAAATCTGTTTGTAATTTGTGGCGTGCTTTCCCTTTTGTAGCAGGGCGAAAAAGATCAACTCGTGTACGAGGATGTACATTAGGCAAAGGAGTGCAAAAAAGAATAGCCAGGAAAAAAGGAGAGAAATTACATGTGTATGTCAATCGGGTGTTGAACGCAATCACAGGAGGGAATGCAACCCCAGCGACGAATGAGTTGGGATTGCAAATTAGACGGTTGTGCCCTCTTCAGAGCCTGAAGTCATGGAGGAAAATCAATGAAAGTACCAAAGATGCGGTCATCCAAGCGGTACTAGTACGAGATTTATCTTCCCATAATGTCGTTATTAAGTTATTTGTAATTGCATAAATTAATTGATGTACTAATTGTCTTGTTATGTTCGTAGGACAAGTTTGTTATCGGGGATGATTTTGATAATGATGAACAAGCTCAACAAATTCTTGATAGAAAGGCATATTTGCTATACAAGGATTGGAGATACAATCTAAAGCAAGAGTTCCTCGAACTTGAGGAAAAGGGGGTTGATGACCCGTATAGTCATCCGCCTAGTGGAGTGAGCTTGGATGACTGGAGATATCTTATTGATGTTGTTTGGAAAGACGAATCTCACTTGGTAACAAATTAATTAGAAACCCCATTCTTGAAATTCATTGATGTGAATATCAATAAAAATTCTAACAAAATTGGTTTATATTTGTAATTTTTTTTTTCTTGTTAGAAACGCTCTAAAGCTGGTGAAGCAAATAGGGGTATGCTCCCCTACAATCATACAAGTGGATCGCGATCATTTCCTATAGCAATGTCACTTATGGTGAGAAGTAGTTATTTGTTTAGTAATATAATGGATGATTGATTCTTCTTCATTTTGAATATTACTATGTACTACTTCATCAATGGAAATTTTTCAAACATAATAGGCAAATGAGGATGGAGAAATAGATTTCCCTGAATTTTATAAGAAATCACACAAGTCCAAGAAGACGGGAGACTGGATTGACCCCAAATGTGGTGAGCTACATGTGAGTATTGAATGTTGAAACCAATTTTGTTGTATATCAATTACTAAAGTTGTTTTCAATTCCTTCAACCATCTTGACTTTCTTATTTTTTTGCCATGATAGGATGATATAGTCAATCTACAAGTCGTAGCCACCGATGCGGGGTTGCCATTGACCCACGAAGAACTATCAAGGCAAGTGCTCGGGGCAAAAAAAAAATTAGGAGCGGCAAAGAGATCATGAGGAGTTGCTGAAGGAGAAAGAGGAGCGGCAAAGAGATCATGAGGAGTTGCTGAAGGAGAAAGAGGAGCGGCAAAGAGATCATGAGGAGTTGCTGAAGGAGAAAGAGGAGCGGCAAAGAGATCATGAGGAGTTGCTGAAGGAGAAAGAGGAGCGGCAAAGAGATCACGAGGAGTTGCTGAAGGAGAAAGAGGAGCGGCAAAGAGATCACGAGGAGTTGCTAAAGGAGAAAGAGGAGCGGCAAAGAGATAGGGAGGAAATTATGAGGGAAAGAGAGGAGCTGACGAAACAAATTGAAGAGGAAAAAAAAGCACGGGAGGCACAACAAGTACAACTCAATCATTTGAACGACGTGGTGTCACGACTCACAACCCTCTTGCAGGGTTCAGATGGTCATCCTACTATTCGGTAAACATAATTTTATTGATAAGCTAATGCAAGTTCTAGAAAAATATGGATCATATTGGCATAGAATTGGTTTCTAAAGTTGCTATGCAAATTTTTGTTGTTATGTGCTTCGAATAGGTTATGAGGCATAATGTGAGTAGACTTTGCTAACCACTTGATTTCAATGAAATATGAAGTTTGTTCCCTTTGGCATAATTTGATTTCCATAGGGTTGTAATCACTTGATGGCATAATCTGATTTCATAAGGTAACCACTTGATGGAATAATCTGATTTCCATAAGACAGCATGGAATTCCAACAAAATTAAAAAAAAATATATAAACAAAAATGATGACCTTTTTTTTTTTTACGTGGAATTTACTTTTGTTTTTTATGTGAACTGACTCCGTCCAAGTCCATGCTAGCAAACAGTTGGCTATAGTCTAAATAACAAAATTCTTCGTATTCTTCGCTAGAAGTTAACATTTGTCATGTCAAGATAGCCTGCTCTACGGGCAGACTTATGAGTATCTGTTCATGTCAACAAACATCCAGACGCTAGAATAACTATCTTACCACAACATTGAGCAGGAGAAATGAATTTATAAATGTTCTAATTAAGTGCCATATGAGCAATTTCACTTCTCAATTTATTCAACCAACTCAGATGACAGCTACGCTGGGAGTTGGCGTGAAAAACGCCGTAAACGTAGCCGGAAAAACTCAGTTTATTACAAGGGACACAGCTAGTTAAATTGGCAGGTCTGTTTGCTTGCATAACACAATTTTGTTAGAGATGTCTTGCCACATATCTAAAAACTATTCAGCAAGTCTGGATTGTCTCGAGACATACTTCAAACCAAACCATTAATGTGACTAAAAACTTTATGTGTGCATCAATGTTGATCCATCTTTATTAACTAGTTAAAAAGATAAAAGATAATACATTTGGTGTGTTTGGTGATTCTTCATTTGTTGAGAGTACTAGGTAAACAATAATACATAGATTCCTGGGACTACATAGTTATCAGTAGTTATTACTTCTGGAAAAATAAAAGATCTTTGTTACAGCTGAAATAAAAGCACAAATACAGAAGTTTCAGACCATAACAATACAATTTGAAATTCATATGAGCCTTCTTCATAAGTCAACCAACCCGACCAAATTTGACAAAGGTATATGGTCATTACACTAGCCTATAGCTGATACAACTATATATTACCTGCAAATATCGTCAAATAGTATCCAAATGAACCATATGGATGTGAAACTTCTCCAAAATTCTGAATTCTGGGGAATATCATCAGTTTGCAGCCTTCTCAGCTGGTATATGCAACACATGGTTAATATATACAGTGATAAATTACATTGATAGTCTATATGTTTTGGCCCTTATATTATTTTGATCCTTATAATTTTAATTAACTCGATTTTGATCATGAATTTATGCTTTTGTGTTAGTTTAGTCTAATTGATAACAGGCGTGTGATGATCCTGACATGTTTATTATTTTATTCAGAGAATTTGCCTAATTATGTGTTTAAATTTTGTGCATATATGTTTGCTTATGGAATTTTGTTAGAACATTTACTTAAGTATACTTTTTGTTGAAAATTTTTGTTTACAATGGAACTAATGGGTGACATTTTTGTTGTGTAGATGGCTTTTGGCATTGACATGTGGATCTTCTATTTTTTTTGTCCGGAAGATAATTCACATTTTTGCAAAGTTGGAAAGTTTTTTGTCGTCCCTGGCTTTTTGTGTGGAAATTGGATGAATCATACATGTAGTTTTTGGCGGGGTACATAGTATTTTTGGAACTTGTGTTAATTGCTCTGGTGGTATGTATAGATTACCTTTTGTCGTGGTACATATTACCATGGTAATTTGTACCATGTCAAATGGTCATTACAATGCATAGTATAGTAACAATGTTTTGTGTATAGAGGACATTGTTTTGCTAACACAGTTGGAATGTATGACGTTATTATTTGTAATTGGAATATGTTAGTTGGTTTGTATATAAGTTAACATTGTAAGGTATTCTTTTTGGTTTGATGGTTGTAAGTGAAACATGCATTACGGAATAGGTGATAATATATATATTGATTTGTTTGTATTATAGGTTGTGGTGGATATATACAGGTTTTGAAAAAAATTATTAAAATGAAAAAAAATAAAAAATGACATTTTTGGTGACAAAAAAATTGGTAGCCAAAAAAAATAAATATATCTTTTGCCGACTAAATATTTAGTAGCTAAAACGAATAGAAAATAGTTTTGGTGACTAATTGTTTTTGTAGCTAAAAACTGAAAACAGTTTTGGCTACTAAAGCCTGTAGTAGCTAAACTAGAAGAACCTTTCCCCGACAAAATCTTTAGCAGCTAAAAATGACACTATTGGCGACTATTAACTTTGTCGCTATATATAATTGAACTTTTTGGCGACATCAGTTTAGTAGCCGAAGATGTGAGTTAATTGAATTGCTTTACCCTTACGGCGACTAATATCTGAGTCGCCAATATGACTCATCAGTGACTAAAGCAGCGTTAGTCGGTAATAGCTTCTTCTTTTGCCTACTAAAAATTAGTCGACATTATGTTGGATTTTTAGCGACTAAATCCTTGTTTGTCGCTAATTGTTGCCCCTTTTGGCTACTAGCAGATTAGTCACCATTTCTGTTGGATTTTTAGCGACTAAAAAAAATTTTAGTCGCCAATACCTTCGCCGACAATGTATCCGCGACAAAGCCAGCGACCAAAATTTTTGGTTGGAAAATATTTTCGGCAACTAAAATCTGGGCTTTTGGCGACTAAAACATTAGTCGGCAAAAGTGTATTTTTTTGTAATGTCAAGAAAAATGACCTTATGGAATAAATGTATAAATACATGGGACTAAGTAAGTTATAAATTTTCTCCATGCATTTCTTAGATTAGAACACTCCTAAATAAGACTTATCAATAAAAACCCGTTATATATATATATATATATATACATATTTTAAAATAGTCAAAAAAATTAACTTTAACTAACTTCCCAAATCAACCATTTGTATCTTTTTCCACTAACCAATAATTAGATTTTCTGCTCCCACTAGGAAGTAATTGTCCCAAATAAAAGCCAAGTTGTCAAACGATTGACAGTTATTTTTAATAAATATAGATTGGGTAATTTTGTATTTTAAATTTTAAAGTGTTATAATTTTTCATTTTATGTATTCGTTTTTGAAAAAATATTTTTAAAATTTAGTTATCACGATCTATCAAATAAATTGATATAAAATATAAAATTATACGAACATGAATGTAACTTTTATGTGAAGCTATTGTATATGAATGAACCATTGTTGATAGATAGAGAGTGTTTGAGTAATGTTATTCATCATAAAATATATATATATATATATATCATGAAAAGTAATCATAAAATTAATTTAATTGCACAACATATAATAAAATATTACAAATTAATCTAAGGATGGAAAATTTTCATGAAAGTTTTTCATGATATTTCTTTCATGATACGTAACATTGTTGATTGTGTTTTTAGTGATAAATTTGGTTATCCAACACTTATGTGTCACAAATTTAAAGTAGTGTAAAATAGTCGATTCATTAGATATTTTGATAAGAGTGACAATATTCTAACTCAAAAATTAAATATATTTTTCAAACTTAGAATATCTAATACAATTCTATCTCTGTCTCGTATCCTCTCTAATCATCAACCAATCATTGTACTTATATATCATCGGGTCTAAAATGTGAACTTGTATATTGTTTTCTAATAGTTTGGCAGTCCAAAAACAATCTTTGCAAGATTAAATCACTTTTCAAATTACTAAATAATTGTGTATTGAACTTTTAACTTAGATTAATTATTGAAATGAGTGCAGAGGACCAGTTGCACATAGTTCTCTTGTCGCAACCAACTTTTTGTGTTTTGAACTATTGGAAATTGGGTCAGATTTGACCCAACCCATAACCCATGAAGCACCACATAGGTTGTAGATAATATACACTACTTAATAAATAAGATAATTAAGGAATTATTTAATGAAGTGTTTGAATTGTCGTGGGAGTTTATAACTCTACTTCTATTTGCAGATATATATATATATATATATCATATATCTGATATAGAGAAAATATATGTATTATTGTTGCGGGAGTTTTATCCTAAAAATCTCTGCAGAATTTCTCTCTATTCTTCCCTCTGAGGTCACCATTATAGAACCTAGGGATTTGGAGTGTGGATAATATATTGAAAAACTCTGGTAGCTTCTCAATTGACGACGAAGAGTTTTTCAGACAAGGCTCGTAATTCAAGCATCTCCAAATCGTTTCCGCTTCAGGTAATATGATTACTCGCATATTTCCTTCATTGGTATCAAAGTCATGATTGCCTGTTTTCACCTTGAATAAAGCTGCATGCACAAATTGGTATACCAATTAGTATACTAATAAAAGATGTGGTATAATTTTCCTGGTTTTGAGGCTTTGTAATTTATATAATGAGTGGAGTCCATAATTTTGAAATTACAATATTATAGCAT